CTTTATTCTCTTGTACTTTTTCAGGAGGCTCTGTGTAAATTTTCCATTTATTCATATTTTGTCCTGGTTTTATGTAATTAGAATTTAAATTATGGATATATTTTCATGTTAGTATTTTCTTGTTGCCGTTTTACTTGTAAACTTTAAAGTTTAGAAATATGCCCAAATATCGATTAAAGATAAAATTATTTTAGGATAAGGTCCATTATTCTCCCACCAAGTAAGGTCTATTGTACAATATATGTGGATGGTGCTTCTAAGTAATTTGTGTATTCAACCATGTTTTATATACACCGGTTTATCAACAGCGTATTTTGTTTATTCATTATGGAATACGGATAGGATTGACAGGTAGTTCGTATTTAGGTGGTCAGTGTTTCATGACCAAGAGAAATGTTTGATTTAATTTGGACTTATAACTATGTGCATTGCACTTTCCTTTACAGAGTTTACCTGGCTTGTTACACACAGAAAACAGCCCGATAAGAAGAAGCCGTTATAGTAACATGGAGAAGCAAATTCTTAGTAAAGCGAATCAACTCAGTTACAGTCCGAGTGATGCGAGTTTGAAAGTTAAGTCATTTATCAGCTGTAAAGACTTAGAAGGATTAAAATTGTATTTGAATCATTTTAGTAAAGAAAAACAAAGTACGATAATAAATCATGTCCAAGATGAGCAGGCGCCATTTTTTCACGCATGTTTGCTGGGTAAAGTAGATATAGTGAACTATATGTTGACCGAATGTAATGTTGATACTGAATTACGAGGTTTATATGTACTAGAGACAGAAAATTTCGAAGACCGAGTTACTCCCCTTTGGGTCGCCGTGGGCGAACAATTTTTCCCAATAGTGAAACTCTTAGTAGAACACGGGGCTGATATTCATGCTGACTCTTCCACATACTCGACTCCTGTGCGCTGCGCGTGCTACCTCAATAATCTAAAGATAGTTCGGTATCTTGTTGAAAACGGCGCCAATATTCATCAGCCAAATGTGTACGGCAGCACATGCCTGATAAATGCAACCAATGGTCCTGTAGAGCTCTGTGAGTTTCTGGTCAGTAACGGCGCATCTGTAAATTCCACAACGATAGATGGATACACAGCAATGTTTCACGCCATAGAATCTGATCGGTTTGATTTAGTCAGGCTTTTCCTTGGGGCCGGTGTATCCCATTTCATAAAAATTACCACAGAGGTCCACATCCTCCATCAAGCAGCAATTCAAGGGAACCAGACAATATTCGATTACATCAGGGACAATACTGTGATGAAGCTGTCACGATTGGTAGAGGGGTACGAACTGCTTGGCGCATCCATGATTGATGACTTCGATGATATTCCAAAAGGACTGCAATTTTGGGAAAAAGCAATGGACTTGAGGTACACTAATCCGAAGGCACCTCTCACAAAAGCAATCCCAGAAGAAACTAAGCAAGTGTATAGATTCCATAGAGAAACTGCAAATCCTGAAGAGTGCAGATCTCTGATAACTTCGGATAAGGACAAAATTTACATGCATGCATTGCTTGCCCGCGAAAGGATCCTAGGTACGAGGCACGAGCAGACAATAATTAGGATTTGGAACAGAGGGGTAACTTATGCTAATTCCAATCACTATCAACGTGCGGTCGATCTCTGGAAATATGCGTATGGCGAAATGAGACGATGGCTAGCAGCATCTGACGAAAACGTCGTATCAGACTTACGCAAGTTAAAAGATCTCTTCGAGGAGATGATAAAACTGTCCTCTTCCGGACAAATCAACGAGAAGGTAAAGTAGTTGCGGTACAACAATTTTGAAATATTTGTGTCGGATCTTGTTCTGTTATCTATTATCATATCTTATTATTCATACTCCTTCACAAACACGACAACAGCCATTGAGGAATCCTGTTAACATTTTCGTCTGTAGTGAATAGTTCCATTGACTTTGCGAAATTTTAACAAATAGCAAATTAATGCAATTGATTTACTTTTAATAGGATATTTCGCTTAGATCGAACTGTTGTCCATCAATGTCTCTGCAATTTCTGTGTGTTTGTGTGAGGGTGTGGGTGGGTGGGTGGGTGTGGGTGTGTGGGTGTGTTAAATTATATCAGGAATATCTATTTGTGGTAGAAAATTGTCATATTGAATGTTTATATCTCACTAAATTACATTATATGGATATTTTTGACAGGTACAGGCTAGCGATATTGTAGATGTGTTTGGCATGGTGGTAAAACAAATCCAGGATTTTTCCGGAATACTGGCAGTTCGGCCATTGCAGAAGAATACATTTGAAAACTTCAGATCGCTCCTTGTGATCGCTATTGATTTTATACAATTGTTTTACTATTCGGAAGGACAGGATGCAGAAAAAGAAGGTTTCACTGAAGAAGTAAGGCGAGTGATTGTACTCAACCCAGAAAGTGAACAAGGTAAACAGCTTCTACTTTTGGCATTGATGGTGCTTTCTGACAAAATGGACGCTATTGTCCCATCCCTTGATCTCTAAAGCAGGAGCATATGTGAATATAACTGACGAAGCGAACAACTCTCCACTTCACCACTGTATTACATAATGGAAGAAACAGGCAGAGGCACCATGCTGATGGAACGTATGGAAAGCGTAGACGCTCAGAACTGTGCCAAGGAAACACCATTCACATTCCTTCGGGAACAGGGATGTGTAATATCTGGCAGCTAGGATGGCGAACACGAACAGTGTGACACCTACCAACATCCGCAAAGATAAGATTTTAATTCTACATGAGGTGCTCGATTTTAGGGATCGCTGGTAAGAGACTTTATAAAATAGGTGAACGTTTTGGTGCACTAAAAGCGCGATCTTGTAAACACGATTACCATAAACACAGAATAACAGAGTTGTTGAAATTTAGCGGTATTCCAAATGTGAAAGTAAAGGTGACACATATAAAATTTGGTAATAGTTGAACGATCCATTTTGGAGACATTAAACTTTAAAATTACATTTTCCCTGTATAATGTATGGACATGTATCTTACTAATCGTGCTAACACATCTGTCTACTTCTTATAACTAGTTTGATAATACTTTGTCTATATATGTTATTCCATCGCTTTTTAAGTTAAAACCTTGAACATTATTTACGTGATATCCTGAAAAAGTATGATTAGTGTACAGGAAGTGTAACCGCTCTCACGAAAGCCAGAAATAGAGCATGTCAAGTGATGATATTCCAGACGAAGGTTTGTTACACTGTTACAGAAACTGCATCGTTGTGTAAGGAAGGGCTTGTGAATAATTTATACCTTACACGCTAACTTGTTGGTTCACCTCAGATAAAACATCATACCACTGGGACATTTAATATTTCATACATTTCAAAATAAAGCACAATTTTAGTTAAAAAATATTCTCATGTCATTCACTCCTGCCACAATTTTGCGTGAAAACTAATAATGAAACGCAATTATGCACAATATATTAAGCCATCACAAGTCACAGTGGCATAAATGACTAAAATAATATAGTAATATAGTATCTTTTTTGTGAAATGTAATTTCAGATTATCTACTTCATGTCTAAAATTCAACTTGATGACAAATTAGAGGAATTAAGTTATTTGTTAGGAACATATATCATTGACACGAAAATAACTCCAATGTTTGAAGTTGTCTCCGTAATATATGGTAATATACCACTACATGTGTAAAAGATGTATGCGAAAGATATCCTTAACTGAAATGAAATATTTATGTAAAAAATAAGCATCATGATAATGTATGATACATTTAAGTCACAAGTTTATTATTATTAAATAGTTACATTATATATAAATAGCAAAAATATCTGTTGAAAGGCCATGACTTACATGCAGTAAAAAAAATCCGTTTTTAGTCATAATCTACGTGTCACTTTTTAGCCAATACATTGTGTGCGTAACACGTAACAGGCTGCCAATCAGAAATGAGTTTATACGTCACATCAACAAAATCGCCTTACCGAAATAACCTAAAAAGCAAACTCCTGCTTTGAATTATTCTTAATGTAGTACTGCATTAAAAGTGCCTGGTGGCATTTTTTTTCAGACCAAAAACCCACATTCGAGGTAATGAAACAAAACTAGATACGCATGATAATTCATGTTTTATTTAACTGTTAGGAGCAATACAATCATTGCTTGCATAATGTGAAGTAGTGGCGAGTGATCAAAACAATTACCTGAATGATAATGCATCAGATTGTTTAATGTTGATTTATTATTTTTATAACACATTTTTGATAATTAAACAAAATATTTAACTATTTTTGTTTTATTTTCCGTCATTATGACAAACTGAAATAATACATCTGTGTTTAACATAATAAAATAGATAATTATTGAACCGAAATGTTTAAATGCATTTGATTTGAAGCATCGTCGACGATGAAGAAACATTAACCCTGCCAGAAAGGCAAAAGTCTGAATATAATACACGAGACAGGCATTACATCCTCGTTAACAGGATTTCTCCATCCTGATTTGATAACATATGCAACATCTGACAGGAACCGAGTTTACATCTAACCTGCACATGTAGAAGAAACTTGACCTTCGCTGGGAATAGCAGATATCGGATTCAGTGAATTAGCAGTTATATACCTATGGTACGAATGTTCACTGTAAGATAAGGTGAAGCGATATTCACGTGTCAATGTATCTATAACTAGGTCGGTTTTAGCTTTATATCACGAGCTGTATCATTAAGTGATACATCGTCAGCAGTAAATTTATTTCAATTATCCAAATTATACGCATCCAATCTATGATAAATACGACAGCTTCACTGCCAGAAAAAAGAAAGCTCTACAACAATATTTCGGATATACAATGATTGTTTTTCAGAATGAGTATTTCAGGATATGTCTTTGAACAATCAAGATCCTCGTTCCTCGATTACTTTTTCACATTTGTTTTACATTCAGATATCTGCAACTCTTTGCCACAAATTTATTCAATTTTGTATTTGTGTATGATACCATTTAATTATTACGTTACTTCGTGACAAGCACACTCGACCTCCTCTATCCATGTGTTAACCCGTTTAAAGAGATCTTCCCTGTCAACCGCCATGACGACAGCACCCTCTGTCTGGTCATTTGCTTCCTCGTCCTCTTTATACATTTTCTCACGCATTTCATCCTCAACAAACTGGACATCCCTATTACGCATATTTGCTGATGCCGTTCTAAACACCTTCGAAGTTTGCTGCTCACAAAAAGCAAGAGCTCTCATATTTGCCATTTCATAGTCAAGTCTTGCCCTTCCTTTGATTTTTTCCCGTTTCGATGGATTTTTTGGAAGCAATCTCGACATCCCATGATGTCGAGAATTACCGTTTGAGCATACACCGGAACTAGATGTGGTCAACATCAGAGGTTCACCGTATCCATGGAGACGTAAATGTTCTGTTAGTTGTAACGGAGTCATTTGGCGCTTTCTCTTATGTTCATAATCGTCCTCAAAGTGTGCCTCGGTGTCAACAGTCACCACCGATGATTGACTATTAACTGTAACTTGGCCAGCGTCTTGCTTTCCTACAGGACTGGATATATCAATCTGCCATGCAAGTCGAGTTGGATTACTAGCGGGACTTCTTGACGATCCACGGAAGGCATTTGGTGGCGCAGACCGTGCAAAATGGGGAGATGACGTCAACGGTGGAAATGATGAGATATCCGGAAAATGTGATGTCCTTGTCTCCACGTCAGTTCGTAATGGTAGCCCCAGTCGAGAGTGAAGACTGTTGCATTCTTTAAACTGAAACATTAAACAGAGCAAATCAGTGTATAATGAACAAGATATTTTCAGTGTTGTTTATTGAGTTTTGTTATTTGTGGCAATGTTATCTGATTATACTGTCACAAGCTGAGGTTTACTGGTACCCATAGTCAGTGATGTTGTCTGATTATACTGTCACAAGCTGAGGTTTACTGGTACCCATAGTCAGTGGTGTTATCTGATTATACTGTCGCAAGCTGAGGTTTACTGGTACCCATAGTCATGGATGTTATCTGATTATATTGTCGCAAGCTGAGGTTTACTGGTACCCATAGTCAGTGGTGTTATCTGATTATACTGTCACAAGCTGAGGTTTACTGGTACCCATAGTCAGTGATGTTATCTGATTATACTGTCGCAAGCTGAGGTTTACTGGTACCCATAGTCATGGATGTTATCTGATTATATTGTCGCAAGCTGAGGTTTACTGGTATCCATAGTCATGGATGTTATCTGATTATACTGTCGCAAGCTGAGGTTTACTGGTACCCATAGTCATGGATGTTATCTGATTATATTGTCGCAAGCTGAGGTTTACTGGTATCCATAGTCAGTGATGTTATCTGGTTATACTGTCGCAAGCTGAGGTTTACTGGTACCCATAGTCATGTGTCAGTATGTTATATTGTCTGAGGTTTACTACTAGTCAGTGGTTAAGATTATACTGTCAGGAGGTTTACTGGTACTGGTATCCCGCATAGTTTACAGTGATGTTATCTGATTATATTGTCGCAAGCTGAGGTTTACTGGTATCCATAGTCATGGATGTTATCTGATTATACTGTCACAAGCTGAGGTTTACTGGTACCCATAGTCAGTGATGTTATCTGATTATACTGTCGCAAGCTGAGGTTTACTGGTACCCATAGTCAGTGATGTTATCTGATTACACTGTCGCAAGCTGAGGTTTACTGGTATCCATAGTCAGTGATGTTATCTGATTATACTGTCGCAAGCTGAGGTTTACTGGTATCCATAGTCAGTGATGTTGTCTGATTATACTGTCGCAAGCTGAGGTTTACTGGTACCCATAGTCAGTGATGTTATCTGATTATACTGTCGCAAGCTGAGGTTTACTGGTACCCATAGTCAGTGATGTTATCTGATTATACTGTCGCAAGCTGAGGTTTACTGGTACCCATAGTCAGTGATGTTATCTGATTATACTGTCTCAAGCTGAGGTTTACTGGTACCCATATTCAGGGATGTTGTCTGATTATACTGTCTCAAGCTGAGGTTTACTGGTACCCATAGTCAGTGATGTTATCTGATTATACTGTCGCAAGCTGAGGTTTACTGGTACCCATAGTCAGTGATGTTATCTGAATATACTGTCGCAAGCTGAGGTTTTCTGATACTGGTACCCATAGTCCTGATTATACTGTCAGTGATGTTATCTGAGGTTTACTGGTACCCATAGTCAGTGATGTTTATCTGTCATGATGTTATACTGTCGCAAGCTGAGGTTTACTGGTACCCATAGTCAGTGATGTTATCTGATTATACTGTCGCAAGCTGAGGTTTACTGGTATCCATAGTCAGTGATGTTATCTGATTATACTGTCGCAAGCTGAGGTTTACTGGTACCCATAGTCAGTGATGTTATCTGATTATACTGTCGCAAGCTGAGGTTTACTGGTATCTAGTCAGTGATGTTATCTGATTATACTGTCGCAAGCTGAGGTTTACTGGTACCCATAGTCAGTGATGTTATATGATTATACTGTCGCAAGCTGAGGTTTACTGGTACCCATAGTCAGTGATGTTATCTGATTACACTGTTGCAAGCTGAGGTTTAGTCACTGGTTATACCATAGGTTTACTGATAGTCAGTGATGTTATCTGATTACACTGTCGCAAGCTGAGGTTTACTGGTACCCATAGTCAGTGATGTTATCTGATTATACTGTCGTAAGCTGAGTTTTACTGGTACCCATAGTCAGTGATGTTGTCTGATTATACTGTCGCAAGCTGAGGTTTACTGGTACCCATAGTCAGTGATGTTATCTGATTATACTGTCGCAAGCTGAGGTTTACTGGTACCCATCAGTGATGTTATCTGGTTAGTCAGTGATGTTATCTGATTATACTGTCGCATGTTTATCTGATTATACAGTGATGTTATCTGATTAAGCTGAGGTTTACTGGTACCCATAGTCAGTGATGTTATCTGATTATACTGTCGCAAGCTGAGGTTTACTGGTACCCATAGTCAGTGATGTTATCTGATTATACTGTCGCAAGCTGAGGTTTACTGGTACCCATAGTCAGTGATGTTATCTGATTATACTGTCGCAAGCTGAGGTTTACTGGTACCCATAGTCAGTGATGTTATCTGATTATACTGTCGCAAGCTGAGGTTTACTGGTATCCATAGTCAGTGATGTTATCTGATTATACTGTCGCAAGCTGAGGTTTACTGGTACCCATAGTCAGTGATGTTATCTGATTATACTGTCGCAAGCTGAGGTTTACTGGTACCCATAGTCAGTGATGTTATCTGATTATACTGTCGCAAGCTGATGTTTACTGGTACCCATAGTCAGTGATGTTATCTGATTATACTGTCGTAAGCTGAGGTTTACTGGTACCCATAGTCAGTGATGTTATCTGATTATACTGTCACAAGCTGAGGTTTACTGGTATCCATAGTCAGTGATGTTATCTGATTATACTGTCGCAAGCTGAGGTTTACTGGTATCCATAGTCAGTGATGTTATCTGATTATACTGTCGCAAGCTGAGGTTTACTGGTACCTGTCAGTGATATCCTGTCATGAGGTTTACTGTTATCTGATTATACTGTCGCAAGCTGAGGTTTACTGGTACCCATAGTCAGTGATGTTATCTGAATATACTGTCGCAAGCTGAGGTTTTCTGATTATACTGTCACAAGCTGAGGTTTACTGGTACCCATAGTCAGTGATGTTGTCTGATTATACTGTCGCAAGCTGAGGTTTACTGGTACCCATAGTCAGTGATGTTATCTGATTATACTGTCGCAAGCTGAGGTTTACTGGTACCCATAGTCAGTGATGTTATCTGATTATACTGTCGCAAGCTGAGGTTTACTGGTACCCATAGTCAGTGATGTTATCTGATTATACTGTCGTAAGCTGAGTTTTACTGGTACCCATACTTTTGTAATATAGATATGATATATTGTAATTCAAGAAGCAAAAACACTTTGCTTTTGTGCAGAACGTCTGAAATCTGGGCTTTCGTGCACAGAAATCAAGACAACGAGAACATTCAAATCGTAAAATACGGCGAACTTTCCCTTTCTCGCTATTTTCCCGGACACTATTTCTATGACGTATTGGGGTCAATCAGAATCATTGACGTCATTATATTTCTTCGTATCGGGTTAGATCTATCATAAACGTTTTGTGTACGTTTATATCGTGGTCAAACGGCGGCGAAGTATTCTCGTTGACCAATCAAATGTCGTTTTACAACTCGAATGAATTAGGATGATATTTCGCTCTTGTGTTTTGGTGTAATTATCAATATCACTAGGTTGATAAATTACATTCTTGTTGACACACAAATAAAAGCGTCACTTCTTTGTCATCTATCATGCCGACTCGATAAAACATGATAAATGGCGGATGTATTCTTTACTTGCTTATCTGGTTATCCTTATCACTTTTTCAAAATTGAAAACAACATCTGAGGTAACAAAACATGGGAATACTGCTTAAAATATGAATTAGAATAAAAACATGTTCAAACGTTCCTACTTAACAGTGACATTTTACTCGAACCACTTTTATGTTCATTTAAATCGCCGTGCGTCTGGCGTTTTATTGGTTGAGCTTTAAATGTAAATCGAAAACCTTTTTCATAGAGACATCGTTAATAATCATCTCTCAATCTTATTGTCGTATTGAAATTTGCTTCAGTAAGACATATCGCTGAGTATGTGTAAATCTGCGTGATCGAAGTATTGTCAGCTTTCAGAGTCATTATATATCTTTTCGATTTTGAATAATACAATTTTCATATCAACAATTCAAGAGTGCTCCAAAATTCGTCACGTAGTAAAGAAGTAATCGAATATTGCCGTTTTAAAGTCAGTTTGAATAGTTTGATAATCAGAAAACGCGTATCCACTCCTAACTTATTGATTTATTGTCACAAGAATACATCTTGGATAGCAAAACATCCGAAAAGAAGGCTAGATATAAGAATGCCATGCAAATTTGTCATTGACAAAATCGCATCTAATCCGTGTCGAAATTTCAATATAATCCTGTCCTTTTGCACGCAAGAAATTGTACTCTTCATTCGAGATTCAATTTGACAATTGACACGATAAAAATTTTCAATTTAATTTTAAATAGCATGCAAACAGGGTTTTCATGACCCAAATTTGTTACTTTGAATGAAATTACCCCCCATACACACACACACATGTTGTAGGTATTAAAGCTGCGTTGTTTCTCGATACCGATACATACATGCTGCATTAACTGTAGAAATTAGAACCGTCTTGTCGTGAATAACAAACTAATTCTATATAAAATCGATAAAACCATGATAGACTCTGACCAACAGAAAGAGAAACAAAACAATTAAAGACCACATACTCATCTAAGCCGCGCTAGACTGCATGCAAGTGATGCTACACCCAAGAATTATATACTGATTCCTACAGGTTGCGGAGAAATCTTTGTAATGACATCACGTCTGCGATAACACGACTCCCTGTGTTAAATAGCAGATACGTGTAAAACACTGTGTTTAAAGGGATGTATTTTATTAGTATGGAATAGTGCAGTAAAACCTGCCTTACTGTCCCCCTTACTATACTTTATCGTCAATATACAAAAATAAATCGACACAAGAATAACTGGAGATCCGCCAAATAAGGAATACCTCAATTACCCCTTTTTCACATACGTAAATCCAAACAATTCTTTTCTTTATTGATATTATTGTTATGTTATTCATATTGTTATTATAGGTCGCCCTATCTCGTCATCCTCACGGATACCTCAATCTTAATCTACAAACTGAATAACATTTGGCAAACCCACTGTTTTATTATCAATCTTTTCAGAATCAATCTCCATACATCTCTCGAAGTAACACTATTGTTTATTTCTGGTTGGAAGTAGTTTGTGAAATTCACGATATCAATTATATAATAATATGGCATAATTACATTTAAGTGGGTATGTACATTGTACCTGGACGTCTTTTCTTGATTGATTGAAATAAGTTCCAATCGTAATTGACAAGAGACTGATAAAATGTTTAATTTTTAAATCATCAAAATATTTATCAGTCATGCGTCATAGGTATCAGATCAAAATCATAAAAACATATAGGTGGAAAGTTTTATACTGTGCAGGTCAAATCAATACAAAACAAAACCCATTCGCCCGAGCCCAGCATTAATGTGTAGCTAAATGAAAAAAATAGGTCGAACTGACTGACACTAGTTATGTCACGTAGACACCCAGATAGCGGTATCATGGTCAGAGCCATAAAAAATGAATACCAAACAGACACTAGATCCTACCTGACCTCCAGCCCCCCGACAGATTATCGAGATTTTACACAAAATGACTGATCGTCACTAAAATCCTCGCCTGTCTCTAAATCAATATCTAAGCACGATCTCAAGTGTCGACGCCTTGTTCACCCTAAGGAGCATCTAATCCAATAAGCCGTGGGTGAGTAAAAAGTCAGGAGACCTCTTCGTTTCCGTTCTACAGAAGAATTCCGCGACGTTGTCTCGATCGTCAAACTAAATAATACAAACAGTCATTGTATGTCTATCAGGACAAGGATATGGGCCAATTAGGCTTCTATGGGCACGTGTTTTAGGTGGAAGCATCTAGGGTCGAACTTCATACCGATCAATATTTTGAGTTATGAAAATTAAATATGACGTCAATTTAAGATCATGTTGCAATGATCATAACTGACACCCCAGCTGAAAGAAGAGCAAGACGTTAGATGTTTCTATGGATGCTCACAACCACTTCATACACGATGATGGCAACATTAGTCTGTAGTAGTTTACTGAAGATTTAAGTTCACAACAACATGACAATTAATCAACCCAGCTTAGCTCTTAACGTGAAGAACACAATGTATAGATAAGACGATTATACGACAATGTCTTACCTGTGTGTTATAATGATTAGCTAGAGAAAAACTAGAGAATCAGGAACATTAAAGAAATATTAATAAGTGGTTTTTTTCTGTATAACTTCAAGTCACCCCTTAAAACTCGACAAAATACAGTAAGCCAATGGATACCAGAAGGAAGTAAGATATCGGAGCCCATTGATTATCAGTAGATCACACGATGTATAATACCACCTGGAAGATGATATCGAAAAAAGAAATAAAAAAGTAAAAACTCGAATGATAGCCCAGTATCGGCTGTCGTCATTTCCATCCATTTCATAAATTGTTCATCAAACTGATGAAGAGCTGAACTTCCTTTAGGATTCAATTTTAACACTTTTAAATGAACGCGCACCAACACGAACTACTCATACGTTTCTTGAATAAACCGCGAAGAGAATCCATTCTCCTTTTTCATTTAATAGCTCCATAATGTAAATGATTACATCAATTATTCAAAATTTCATTTATAGACAAAACAAATTTCTTAAAGTTACGAAAATCAGATACCAGGCTCGAAATCATTTAAACGAAATAATTACAAAGAGACTATTGAAATGAAAAGTTAGAATTGGAATAAGACCATGTGTTTAGGCTCAGAAAACGTTTTATTACATAAGGAAATAAAACAATTACCCTTCTAGCCATTCAAAAGCAATGTAACCCACACTTTACTCTATCAGCCTATCCAAACAACATTACAATCAACTTTATTAGTCATTCAAACTTAACATATATGACATTATATTTATGTTTTGCAGTGATAGAACGAAACATAAGACAGTCACCAGAAAAGCTGGTTTCATTTAGGGTTGAACTTTCTCAGAAATTCTTATGTCATTATATATATTTATACTACCATGGTTCCTGTTCAGTTCAGAGAATGACTTTAGTGTATCACATACAAATATTATGGAAGGGGTAAGGTGATGGTAAGATTACGCAATGAAAAACACGTTTAAGTACTTGAGCATCGCTATACCATTTCTTAAAATGTCACAATATATGACATACAGTGGGCCTTAAGACATGCAAACATACTTATTATCTACTAAGTAATAAAAAGCAAAAAATAACCAAATGATTTTACACATTTATCATAGTGTGATACATATGTGCGACAGATATAATTTTATAAATGCACCTCTACTCTAGCTTTAAATAATATATTCTAAGGTTGTAATTGACTTTAAAATCGTTCATGGCAAGAAATGTCTTATACTGTAGAATAGCTTGTATTTACCTGTGTAGAGTAGGTATTAACCTCAGGAATACGGATCTTTCTAGGTTTTCTCCGTGAAGATAGAACTGTCCAGGATCTGGTTAGGAAGTCCCTTTCCGGCATGTTGATTTGAGACTAATCCAAGAATCTGAATGTAGCACGAAATTTGTAATGATCAGCTTGCGTGGCTTGTGAAATATTCTGGATAAGTGATCTTCAAAACAAAATGAGTTTCTTTTTAACTAGTGTACGGTTTTGCCTTCTTTCACTATTATTACGTAAGTTTTTTTTTTTCTTTTGTGACAAATTTGTTCGTTTGCGAACGACTTTTTCTTTTCACACGAAAAGCTTTAGTAATAAACAGGGAACAACCAGAAAACTCGTCCTTAGTTCCCATTGAGTTTCCATAAGATTCCAAATATGTGGGATAATTAAATCTCTAAAATATGAAAAACCACAACGGAATATTCTTAAACACGGATAGGTCGTGGATATAGCATGTTGTCGTGGCAGGGGACATCGCCTAAACCTCCCAACAATCACTAGAGCAGACCTTTAAATGGCACCTGTGTGCTCGACGGGTGCTGTCACTGTAGAAATAGCCACTTATAGTTGTATATCCTTTTACGTCACAACTTAGCACATCGGATGTAATCGACACTGTAACATGAATACAAACATGCGATTAGATAACAGTTCATACAGGTTAAACATGATGTGTGAATCAGTATCAAATCCAACTTACACTGGACTAAAAAGATAACCATGTCTTCTCACCACTCATTGATCTATATCGATAAAAACAAATCTTACAAAATCAGTTGTCAGACACCTCAAGCCATATCAACATTAAGGTACAGTTTCCAGAGATCAAACAAGGTGATACAATTATCATATGAGTCCGGCAATTTACCGATCTTTATTAATATTCTGTTATCTTTATTACAATTCTATATACACTTATATGAGTAACTGATGGGAGCGTTCCATTGCCCCAAAGCAAGAGCTTTGGTAATGATTACACTAAATTGTAAGTTAGATCAATTATCAATTTTTGTCCAAGTTGCGGGTACTGTTGCAAAATCTAGTAACGTGAAGTGATATCATCACATTTTAAAAAAGAATGTAAAATATGTAGCCTGTACATATGGCACCAAGGACTCCGAGCGAGGTGAATATGATCATCCAGTATCTATCACGTTATATCTTTTCTAGGGATTTATAAGGTAATCATTGACAAAACATCTTTAAGTATCCTTAATACAGCTACTTCATAATGTAATATATCTAATATATATATACAATATATCCAAACTTTACAATGCACATTAAACGTATTTAAAAATCCAGAAAACATCCACAAAATGTAAGCCCCCCTTACACTTTTCGTGTGTTTCTGATTACAATAATATAATGTATTTATCCTGTAAGGGTATTTATCAATCAGTATTATCTTGTGGTAGTTTTACTTTTTCTGAACACGACTTCTTCCCTGTGGCTTTATGTGACGTAATCGTGTCGTAAGTGTTGTATATATCCACTGGGTGAGCACTATTTATAACGTTTTAAGCCGAGACGATTCACCTGTGATAACGTGGGTCAGTGGATCCATTCGGTCAGTCTACACGTATCCACCTTCTCACCTTTATAATATCGACAGTAGATATTAGTCGACAAACCCTTATTTACTTACCTGTTGTAGCATTTAATTTCATGCATTTTCTTGTCCAACATATCTGGGCGGCAGGTTGAAGCGATTTTTAATTAATCACAACCATTCAACAAGTTAGATTATTTCATACGGTTGCTAATTGAAAATGTCTCATGTTTATACAAATACCTGTATATCTATCAATGGTACTAAAAATAATTTACATGTTGAATGTATCAATGTAAAAAGCTCTGAATAAAAAGATACATTTCAATATACCGACACACTATTTACCTTTCACCTTTTATGAATTGATAGATATGTCATTAACATATTATTTACAAACATTCAGTATCTTATTAGACAATCCTAAACATTACAAATTTTCTTGATGCAAACGTGCCAATGTACACATTTTACGTGATAAACGAGGAATGGACAAAACCTTAATTATTTCCTCTCTGAGTGTATTCCAAAAGCACATCAAAATTTCAATTATCGTAAATAATTCGATTTCAAACAGTTTGAAATATGTCTTTGTTTGCCCAAACATAACACTCGTAATTCATATCAGCGTTTGCTCTCAACATTATCGTCTCAAGATCTCCGTTGATCATCTAAACTGCCGTAACTGTAATGTTAGTTGTTGGATAAATACCAAAGTGAAGTAACAAAATCTCTAAAGTACAAAAAAATTATATACGTACGTATTATTTACGTGGCAGCGCGAGATATTATCCCTTTATAGTGTCTAGTGCGTATAGTCTATAAACAGCCATAACGCTACTCTTACTGTGGAAATCAGGGGGCGTTCATCTTGCGAAATAAAATAGGATCGGGAGTTTAAAGATTAAAACTTATTGTAAGAGCATAGACCATCGCTGAGTATGTGTAAATAACAGGTTGGCCTAATTGAAACTTGATTTCAATAGGGAAACGATTGAGATATTATGTTATTGTCTGTGTGGACAAGTGACCTATTAGTGTCTTTTATCAAGTGTCAGAACAATTTTAGGATATTGGTCTGAAGTAAGCGGTCATTTTAGGTTGAGGCCAGAATACAGGTTAAAATGTTTATACAGTAGACATATCTTATCGTTTGCACTTTATGTGACGAAAGACGGACTCCTCGCATACTAGTAGTACATAGTGGCAGTGGCTTCATGTACTAATTACTGTTTTGAGTTGGTTTAGTCTCTAGGTTAGTATCTCATTCCTAGAAACATGTACTTTAGCTATCTTTATCTTAATGTCATTCGTCTAAAGGTATCTTTATCTCAATTGCATGAGTCTAATTTTTCTTCAATTTAATGTCGTGTGATCTGGTCAAATTTTACTTTTACCTTTCTTTGCATATGTAATTATCTTTATCTTAATGTCGTGTGTTAAAGTTATCTATAACCTAATGTTTTGTGTTAAGTTATCTTTATTTTAATGCCGTGTGTTAAAGTAATCTTTAACCTAATGTTGTGTGTTAAGTTATCTTTATTGTAATGTTGTGTGCTGTGGTTATTACTCTTTATCTTTATTCCGGCTGCTTTAGATCTCTTTATCTTAATGACGTTTGTTGCACGTGTAGTTATCTTTATCATAATGTTGTGAGTTATCTTTAATTTAATGTTGTGTGTTCTGCTCAAACTTTATTTGTATGCCTTGTGAGTTGTGAGTTGTTGTTAACATAATTTAGCGCGTGTGTTGTAGTTATATCTATACTATTTTTGCTTTATTTCGCGGTTTGTATATCGCTGCAGCGTTCCTGTGGTTACATATTTTGATGTAGTGGTATATTTGTATATCTATGTCAATGTCGCGTTTCTAAATATACAACAAAGGTATTTATCAACCTTTGCAGACTGCCATTGTAAGTGTTATTAGTGTGGCAAAACGGCGATCCTTTGCTTCTAATCTGGCTCTGCATCTGGAATTCCAATGTCAGTTATATGACAGCAGGTGACAGATATTTGGCAAATTACTTAAATGGGTCAGAACACTCTAACATAATTAGTGAAGTCGTTGGACTTAAATGCTTTCCTTTTCAATGTATGCCAATGAAATGGACACAATTACCTACCTCTGACAATCTTGACAAGGTTAGGCTGATAGATTAGGCACGTATTTAATAACCCAGATATAATTGCAATTTCCATTGCTAAAAAGCATACTATACAAATATATATATATATATATAAACACATTCACAAAGGGTTTCTATTGCCCTTCCATAACTTTTATCGTCCAGTGTTAAATGCATAAAAAGATGTATCTTATGTATCTTATCTTGAACACCAGTCTTTTGTCCTCTTTTTTATTTGCGCCTTGTTGGTCATAGGATAAAAAAAGTTAAGATTAGGACGAAAAGTTCCATGTGTACAATATATCAGATTTGGTATAAATTTGTTTAAAAGTAAAATGGAAAATAAGAAAAAATCATTAGGAAAAAAAGAAAAACATCATATATCCAAAATGATGGAGTTTACCCACGTGGAAAAATGAAGTATTTCTTACTCCACGTGAGATACTTGAGAGTCGAGGTCGTCGAGTCTATGCCTATTTGAAGATGGTAGTCGGTGTTCACTGTAACATGTTGTATGATATTAAATGTTTTTGTTTCGGTTGTCAACTGGTTTCTTCTTCGCTAGGTAAATATTTGCTTTTCATGCCTAGTACATACATTTAAGTATTGAATGATAATTAATTACACAGCTGTAGGAGATAACATGTATGACAATGATCAGAATACAGTCATACATAAACAGTTACGGCACTCCTGGTTTCCCGTCATAATGTGAAATATTAGCAATTAAAAATATGAATGGAGGAAGAAGAGATCGACAATTAGGTAAATGACGTGTACTATGTTTCTTTCAGTTTGGTCTTTTGTGATCTGTACGTGTCAAATTGATTGTGAATACACTTAGGGTCACATATAGGCGATAAAATCATCTGTTTACGACATCATTTTGTCAACAACCGACAAAATATATTATCTTAAATCAATAAAATCCTAAAACATCAATTGATATTTCGGTACTTTAAAACACACCTGCAAGGGTTTAACCTGTTCGTTTTATATACACATGAAAACAGATAATTTCTGACGAAATGTTCCTCGGTGGTAAATCTAATTATGCATGGAGCAAGTGATCTCGCGTTAAATCTATTTCAACGTAAGGACTAACACTCCGTGTGCCGAGCCTCTCCTTCCACCCTTAAAACCCGCTTAGATGATTATCACAAATTCTCCCGTGTTTTCTTCTCTTTTTCAGACGTTTCAATTACGTTGAAGGAAGATTCGTGATCATACCTGTTTGTTTGATAAACATGTGTTATATTTAGATATTTTAAATGTTTGTCACGGTTGTAAACCGCATACTCTATTCAATATCACAAATTAATTCTTTTATCGGAGTTAGAGGCAATGTCGGTTCAGATATATCATTGTCATCAAATACTTTAATAAGATGAGTAAACA